AGTACATCGATCCAATAACATCGATCACGACACTTAAAACTAGAAATTATACACGATATGTGTGACGAAAATATTGCAAACAAAGGCAAAAACAAAAATAACTTAGAATATACAAAGTAATTTTGGTTTTGACATATTACTACTTCCAAGTTTCAGATTTAGTAAGCCAAACATTTTATTCCATACATTTATAAACAATTTTAAAATGCATGATTTACCCATTTTAATACATTTAATATTAATAGATTAATTTGCAGGTAATTTAGAAGCCAAAAATATATCTATTATAATTATTGTTTTTCACATTATGGAAAATTAAAATTACAGGTTTCCGAAAAAATAATTAAATCCCGATTTATTCACTATTCTCAATTTTCATTGCGAAAATGAAAACTGGAATAGATTTGAATAATCTGCGCTTTGTGCCGTCGTCAACATTAGTTGGGTTTATGTTTAGTAATTTAGTTAATAGAACAAGGAAATATTAAGTTTTATGAATCAATCATAAAACGGAATAGTCTTTGCCTAAAGCGATAAGCCTAAAGTTAAACTTATGAATTAAGAATAATAACAAAAACTAAGCTAAAATGACACGCTTAAGGAATTTACCCAATTTGGTATTTGAAATATTGCGCTACCCGCAATCATAATTTCAATAGCAAGTGTCATTTTAGTATTATGATTCAAGTATATAAGTGATGGAACTATGTCACTCACCGAGCTTTATTGTAATATTCCGTTCCAATTCATTTTTAAAACGCACAGTTTGCACTCCGGAGATGGCTTTGACAACCGTGGATTTGCCGTGCGCTACATGGCCGATTGTGCCAATGTTGATGGTGGCCTGGCGAGAGATTACCTCCGGCGATAGTGGTGTTAGATTGCTTATTTCCTGCAAAAACAATGCAAATAATAGATTAATTATCGTAAATATTATACCAAACCATTGAACTTTCACAACACGCCCTAAACCGCCTTACAAACTGACACACGCATACATCTGTATACGCACACAAATATACACACTGGCATGAGTGTGCGTAGAAAAAGCCGTATATTTTGAGGTTAGATTCAACTGAATATTGCATCAGATATTGTAGCAACAGTTGAGCCGCATATCTAATGCTATCATTAAGTTTTAGAACATTAACCCAGCATATTGCAAACATATGCCAAACAACTCACAAGGCAAAAAAACCCCACCAATGCTAGCGAAACGTAGCAGGCAGCGCCACGTGCTGCATTCTTTTGAGGTCGACTGCACACCGAAAAAGAGCAACAAAAGCAATTTATGTAAAACGATTATACATAACTATGTTTGATCAAAGTTAGTCTTAGTCAGTCCCAACTTCAACGAATACATTTTTTCATATACAAATGGCCGCGGTGCCCTAATGTTTTTAGATGCAGCGTCTACACGAACGGACGCGAGTCATCGAACCGGAGGTGGTATTTTCGGCGTTTATTCCTGCACACTCACCAAATTGCTAAGGTCCTGCTTTTGCAAATTTGTGTTTACGTTGACTTGAGCTTCAGCCGTGGCCATGTTTTTAATATTTTTAAAAACGATTTCTATATAAAATTAAAAAATTAATGGGCCAGCTCGTTTACACCTCGACATTAAATATTGTCCGCGCGTGTTGTAAAGGACCGAAAATGCCTTGTAATCTTTTAAGTGTTGTTAATGCTTAGACACTGAACTGAGTATTTTGGAACCGGAACTAGAACTATATATATTATTATTTCAAATCCACTTTTAATTTCTTAAAAGAAATAAATATGGTATAATTAAAGAAGCTAACAAATGTGTGTTCATTTTATTCAATGCTTGCAAGACATGGTTCTAATGGTCGATATTTTTTGGCAAAGAATCAAGGCAACTCTGTCGCACCGCATATTCACGATTTAAATATTCGGCCACACTTAGAGCAGAATTCGCAAACCGGGAGGACGGCGCGCATTAAGTGTATTAAATCGACTTCAGCTCAACTGTACTAGATAAACTAATAGCTTTTTACAACAATATCATCAATCCAAGTCTTGGTCTCCCCTTTGCCGCTCCATTTAAAACAAAGCCAGCAATATGTCGAGCGTGCCAAAGCGACAAAAGTTGGATGCTGCCGCCGATGGAAATACATCTGCCGGTGCTAACGAGGAGGAGTCGGAGGCGCTGGAACTAATCGATGCCTGTCAAAACGAAATTGACGCGCTCAACGAGAAAGCCAGTGAAGAGATACTGAAAGTGGAGCAAAAATATAACAAACTGCGGAAGCCCTGTTACGAAAAGCGCAGTGAACTTGTCAAACGAATCCCCAACTTTTGGGTTACTTCTGTAAGTTTTAGCATTTACGTAGTAGTGATCGAGCGAATCCGCTTAAGCGGCCATGATTTGCATGTTTAGCATGAGGAAATGTTAATTTTTGTGTAGAGCCCCATATCCCGAAGCATTAATGCGTGCACAGCATTTTAAAGACAAAAAGGCAACATTAATTGATTTTGTGTCTCTACTACATGTGCAAGAAAAATTTCTCTATTCGAGGAACTTTTTTCGTTTGTTCTTTTTCATCTTAGTCTTCTATGCATGCCGCCGCCACCGGTCGCACCGCTCTTTTTTTGCCTATGTGTGCGTGTGCCTGTGAGTGTACGAATATATCGATAAATGTCTGCGTTGAAGCCGAACATTTCTTACCCTCTAAATTAAATTAATCGTTTTGAGCAATTATTCTTACCGGTTTGTTGTTTAGCTTATTTCTATAAACAGGTTAATTGCAGTACATATATGTATATTCATATTATTGAAGACAATTTATTACTCAAATATATGTTGTACACTCAGATTAGATTACTTTTAAATTTGTATTCTTGAGTACCATCAAATGGATAGCAGATATCTAATTTAAATTTCCAATTGTTTTTAGTTTATCAATCACCCGCAAGTATCTGGCATTCTGGACGAAGAAGAGGAAGAGTGTCTGCATGCGCTAAATAAATTGGAAGTTGAGGAATTCGAAGACATAAAATCAGGATACCGCATAAATTTCCATTTCGATGAAAATCCATACTTTGAAAACAAGGTTCTTACCAAAGAGTTTCATTTGAATTCAGCGGGTATGTGTAATTGCAAATCATGTTATTTCACTTATATATCAAGGTAATCTCTTTTGAATTATTAAAGCTGCCTCTGAAAATGGTGATTGGCCCGCGTCTACGAGCACGCCCATTCAATGGAAGGAGGGCAAGAATTTACTTAAACAGTTGCTAACGAAACCTTATGGCAATAAGAAGAAACGGAATTCCGATTATAAGACATTCTTCGATTGGTTTTCGGACAATGCTGACCCCGTCAACGACGAGATTGCTGAACTGATAAAGGATGATCTTTGGCCAAATCCACTCCAGTATTATCTCGTACCTGATATTGAAGTGGAACCCGAGGATGAAGATGAAAATGAAGACAACGAAGAAGAAGCTTTCGATGATGAAGATGGAGAGGATGAAGGCGACGAAGACCTTGAAGATGAAGGTGAGTTGGTACAGATGACTATTTAAAGAGTTACTTATCAGAATTTTATTTTTTCAGATGACAAGTAAATCCTTAAACCAATATCTATATGCAATTTGATTTTTCCAATTTATTTCCCAATGTGCTAACCACTTACAACTATTATTTTATGTATGGTTATGTCGGAATGGGAGTATAAAGACGTAAACATGATTTTAACTTTTACGTGAGCATTGCAAATACCATTTTAGACAGTTATATAGTTACTTATTAAGTAAAATGAATACGTATTTCTGAAAAACCCATCAACAAACAGCAGTTTTTTAAAATACAAATAAAGACGTGAATCTAAAAACGATTGCATTTTTAATTCTTAGCGATTCAGCGATGACCATGTTATCGTTATCGGAATACTCAATGCAGCTGTGGTAAAAAGGGAGACCGTGACAACTCTAATATTGCCCAGTCGAATCAACCCTGAACGCCGCAGCTGCGAGATTTAGGTGGAAAAGTATTTGCAAGGAATAAGCAATGGCCTCTATTAACAAATTAGCACTTTTGGTAGGTTTTATATAAATGGTGTAAAATGCACTACCTTGCATATGCTGCAACGGTAAAATTGTGATTGTAGTGGAAGCCAGCTATGGTATTAAAACGAAAACAATTATCTAACTTGGATTTCTTGGTTATGTAATTTGCAATTTTAACCAATAACCAAAATTTGATTGCGATTTTAAGAGATGATGTATACTAATGGGATTTGGTTTGCTTGCAGAGCCGCACACTCAGCTCCGCTGCTGCCCAGCAGGTGGTGAAGCCACCAATCCAATTGTTCGGATTGGAGGGCCGTTATGCCACCGCTCTGTATTCGGCGGCCACCAAATTGAGCCAATTGGATCAGGTGGAAAAGGATTTAACCGCACTGCAGGCGACCATTAAGGCCGACAAGAAGTTGCGCGAACAAGTCACTAGCCCTATCATCAACAAGAAGGTAATGGCCACTGCTCTTAAAGAAGCTGCTGCAAAGCTGAAATTTGCACCAGCCACAGCCAACTTGTTGGGTCTCTTGGCTGATAATGGACGCTTGAAGAAGTTGGACACAGTTATCAGTGCCTTCAAGACCATTATGGCTGCTCACCGTGGTGAGGTTGTCTGCGAAGTTATCTCGGCAAAGCCTCTAGATGCCGGACAGAACAAGCAATTGGAGGGAGCCCTCAAGGTAAAAACATCAGTATTCAATATGTAGCGAAACTAAATAGTTTTTCTTTCCAGTCTTTCCTGAAGCCCAACCAGTCGCTGAAGATCACCTCTCGCGTGGATCCCAGCATTATTGGTGGACTGATCGTGTCCATTGGCGACAAATATGTGGACATGAGCATTGCCACCAAAGTGAAACTCTACACAGACGTCATTCAGTCCGCCGCTTAAGCTAAAAGATTCAGTGTCCGGCGTTTAATAGCGAATAAACCTGTTGAGGATAACTTAAAACATTTCCAGCTATTGTTAGACATGTTTATTTATTATTAGTTCAATCCAATCGAAGACTATTATGCACACTGTATAGGATAAGACGATAACATCTGTCACTCTGACGGTTCTGGCTGCGTGTTATTACTTGGACACCTAAATCCTTTTCTGTTGGAAGTTATTACATGTTCAGACTTGACACTTGAACTTACTAATTGTTCTTGGAATGGATGATGATTTTGACTGCAGTTGGCTGTCTCGCTCTGTTCTATAAGGCCGAAATCTGCATATAGCTCATTCATCTTCTGCTGTAACGCTATATACCATTCATTCTGCCGACAGATCATACTCTCTAGTTCGACGATGCGCTGTTGTTGTTGTTTGATTATTCCACCCATCTGCAGGCGCATCTGGCATTGACACTCTACACCGCTGCACTCCATAACGTTCTCTGTCTGCGGCTTTTGGGGAGATGCCTCGCATTTGCATGGATGCTTTTGGCTGCGTCCCAGCAACAAGACATCCGTGCAATTGCACAGGCAATTAGTAGCATCGCATTGCAGATTGTTTTTTGCCATATTTTCGTTGTGCATGGACAGCACAGTCGCTTCGGGGACCTCAATGTCGGGCAAGGGGAGACCACAATCCTTATAGCTGGATTCACTTACGAAGATTTCTTCGTCTAAGCCATCCTCCTGCTGGCCGTTGCATCCTGATTTGGATATGTCGAAACAAGGTGACAGCGTAGCACCCGACAGGAGAAGCACTTGGAGCGAAGGCCGACTTAACTGTGGCGTTATCCATTTATCCTCCTTGTATTGCTCCTTAATGAGCGACGCCTCCTTCTGAGTACGTTCCACGAATTGTGGTATGTGTTCAATACAGACACAGCAAAATTTTTCAATACTCTCCACAGCGGTACCGAAGGCTCCCATACTCTTCTGCCAAATCTGAGCTTCCTTCTCATTTTTAGGATAATGATAGGCGGAATCGACGGCATCATTGGCAAACTCCTTGCCGCAGACTACACAGCGACGGTTCATTGGAACGGTCAAAATTCAACTTAAAATTTTTTCAAATATTACTCAAAGAATATTTTGTGTTTTAATGTAGCTTCCTAAATGTCATGATAGCTATATGAGATTGTTTGTGTGATCTTTGTATTATTTGAATATGTTTGTATGTATATATGTGATGGTCGGCTATCGGGCAGCAGTTCTTTCTTGCCCCCACTTTAATATGTTTTGTAATTGGCCATTGATCTGAGAACTCGAACTCTTGGAGCCACTCTTTCATAGGGCGGCCAATTAAACTTTGATTGTGCCGTGCCCGCATTGACTCTCTCCTTTTCGACTTTTGTGTTGGCCTGCAACTCATTCAGCTTGGCCTGAATGGACTTTTGTAGCTGTTGTTGCTGGGCCAATAGCGATTCCAGCTCATCCAACTGCTTTGCCCCTTTTTTATCAATTGATTCTGATGTCGTTTTTCCTGCCTGTTGAATGGGATTTGCTGCAGGAGGTTTTGTACCTGTACCTGAAGCCGCCTCAGCACACGGGCATTTCTTCTCTGGCGTTGTGCCCAACAGTAGTACGTCAGTTGAATCCGCTGCTCCATTCTTACCATTCTCTGCAGGCTGCCGGCAAACTGAATAATTCGGCTCATCGATGTCTGGAAAGAAAGCTCCCTCGCGTGTCATGTCTGACTCGAGCACACGGATTTGCGAAATATCTGAGGATCGTTTGCTCAGATCCTTATTGTAATACGAAGGCACCATGGAGCCACCCATTATTAGAACATTAACCGGTGGGCGTCGGCCAGTGTCCATCAAGGAGCACTGCCTACAGGGTGCGTTACCCATATTTGAATTTCCCGCTCTAATTTGGCTCAAATTTCCGCAAGAGTTTTCCCTAAATCCACGATCGCACATACATGATTTTTCACTACACGTTGGTATGCTTACGTTGTGATTAGGACAATTCCTCTGTCCAGGACAGATTTGATGTTGCTCCTGCTGCTGCTGCTGCTGCTGCTGCTGTTGCTGTTGTAGTTGTTGTTGTCGTTGTGGGCACACCATTGGTGGATAGCCATAAGAGCTTGAATTCAATTCGAGCTGCGGGTTCCTACCCGATCTATCTGGAGATCTCTCTCGTTTTCTTTGCATTATCTGATTGGGTCCAGAACTCTTTGTAGGACTACATCGATTACACTGTGATTGACAGCCTTTCTTAGTTGAGGCTCCTTTTGATTGCGTCCGATTTTTACTTGAGTTTACATTTTTGACTGCACTTTGTTTTTTCGATCGAAAGTTTAAGTCGCTACCAGAAGTCGATCTTATGCGCACTTTTTCGTACACCGGGTCGCTTGATTGTTCATTATAATTGCTTTGATAACCAATTTGTGGCTTACTAAAATTGTCTGTTTGTGCACAATCCAAATGAGTTTCGGGCCTTTGATCTGTAAAGTAATGTACGGCATTAGCATCGGTGAAAGTCACAGATCGTTCCTCATCAATGGAAGATTCTGGCACAGTAGCTTCCCTTCGATTGACATGCTTATTACAGACACAACAGCTATGCATCAATGTCTCTACTGGCACAAAGGTAGCGAGCATATTTTGCCATTTGAGCGCTTGTTCCAAAGTATGCGGGTACGTGAACTTGGAGGTTGGCTGCTCTCCACATATGATGCAACGACGTTCCATTACAAGGCACACAAGACAAAATTTTTGATGGGCGGGGGCAAAATATTTAATTTAGACTTTATAGTCGAAGATCACTTGAAAATCAAATATTTAAAAACAAGTGTCGTAAGCATTTCAAAACGTAAATCTATTCAAGATCATATTCTTTTCTATGAATATTTTAGATTTGTATTAAATCTTGCGTTAAAGACTTGTTCGTAAACTAATTAAATTTGTATATGATGCATTGCTTTACAAGCAGTTAGGAATGCTTATAAAAATTTTTAATTATACAAGTCTGCCAACTTGCTAACATGTTATATTCAAATAGAATGCAGTTGAGCGATGAGCTGAACTGCTTGGATAGCGAATTGGAAAGTTATCGATATATGAAAAAAAAAAAAAAAAACAACATCAGCGTAGAGCAATAACATTCGTCATTGTGTCGTTGGGTTTTGTAGTCCGTTGAACGTCCATGTATACGAATGGTTGTTTTATTTTAAAAACTCGCGACGCCAACTCAACATCCCATCGAGTCGTTCCAATTTTAGTTTATTTGTTTGCTGATGACTGCGTAGACTAGAGACAGAATAATGAGTTCAGCAGACACAAATGCAGCCAACTGGCAAGCCGACGATCGTGGCGATATGGAAAAGGTTTTAGCCATGTTAGTGCTAGGACTTGGAAGCCTTCTATCCGGCATGCTGCCAGCCATAATATCAGAACGTAATCGTCAGCGATTTCCATTGACTACCTCGTTGCTGCTGTGCTTCGGTGCAGGTATTTTGCTGGCTACAGCGCTGGTGCATATTTTGCCAGAGGTAAACCTAACTGTAATCGAGTGCAATTTGATAACTTTTTTTTATATCCATATATGTATCTGTGTGTGTTTGTATATGCGATTGCTTAGGTACGTGAGCAAATGAACTCGAAATTCGCAGAAGTTGCGATGTGTGGTGGCTTCTTCATTATTTATTTCATAGACGAGTTCATACACTACTTCTTTGGCGAGGCCATTCAGCATACGCATGCAGTGACTCCAGCAGCGAGCGTTCCAAGCTCCAACAATGCCTATGGCGCAACTAATGAACGATCGCCATTAATAGGCGGCGATACAACTCATCATCATCGACATGGTGAAAAGTATGATAAGAGAAGTGAATGGTTTATTTAATCGATCGATTAATTTCATTGATTGCCTTTGCTTACAGCGGTCATGATCATAATAATCACGGTCATATATACGATCCCGTTCCCGGATGTGATGATGTCAGCGTTGAGGATGCAAATGCGCGTATTTGTCATACCAGCCACACAGAGCCATGTGCTCAATCCATGACCGGGACATTGGGACTCTTTGTGGCGCTCTCTTTGCACTCGGCCATCGAGGGATTGGCTATTGGTGTACAAAACTCGGCCACCAAGGTATAAGAGATTACCTTGACATCATTTACTTATGCTCCCAGTGAGATAATCATGGGATTGCTCACTAAATATTTATTTTGATAAGCGAGCATACACGGTTGTAAATATTTCGTACTTTGTCTATTCGCTTCTATTCTAGGTGCTCTTTCTGCTGGGCGCCGTTGCGTGTCACAAATTCGTAATGGGCTTCTGCCTGGGTCTGGAATTTCGCTCAAATCCACGCGCAAGCTTTCGCTCGCAATTCATTGGCATCTTGGTGTTTGCTTTGGGTGCCGTGTGCGGCATCGGTCTGGGCATGCTTATCGTTGACATACCCTCCAGCTGGTCGAAAACCGCATTGCCCATCATACAAGCATTGGCTGGCGGCACTCTCTTTTATGTGACCGTGTGTGAGGTGATTCCGCGTGAGAAGGCAAGATGGCATACGAACTCGATTCGTCGCTGGGCGGGATTTGCGCAATTCACTACAGTTGTTGCTGGCTTTGCGACAATGTGCATAATTAATTATTATCTCGCTGGTACGTCATACCGAAATAATCAGTTTTAGCATTTACGCATCAAATATTTATTTACATGTACATTTCTATTCTAGACGACTGAGAATCTCATTGGGCACTAGCCCGTTTTTCTTTTATCTTGTATTTATATCAGAAATTTTTATTGCAAAATGCTTTAATGTTTAATGTATTATTAAGTGTCTCAGCCAATTGAAATGTTTTGTACAACATAGATGTGTGCTATTTTATATAATATAACGTTCTTTTTTTAACATTCTTATGAGTCTGTGATTTTTGCTTAGCTGCAAATAAATAAAAGACAAATATTCTTTATATCTACATTTATATTTGTTGTGGCTTTCTCCAAAGTTTCTATGATTTTTTCATTTTATCAACCTTAAATGTAGTTGTAAATAAAAAAAACGGTTTCAAATGGTTTTTTGATTTGTATTACTAGGTATTTATGTATATCAATCATAAAACATCCTCTTGCTAAGCGATTTAATGTAATTGCATACACATTTGCTTTGCCTTTATAATTTTGTTTTAAACCAATTAAAACAACATCTATATAAATACACATTTATGTATGTAATATTTTCCAGATATATGCAGACAAACTTTATATGTAGACGTATAAATATATTTATATATGTATGGGTGTATAATTGAAGTTGAATTGTTGGTGGTAAAACGCAGAAGAAACTAATTGCTTGGTACTCGATTGGTTTGTCTATCAAATACGCAAATTGATTTTGTTTGTTTCTATGTGCTGCACATGCGTAAAATATATTATATACTTTATTTTTGTTCCTATTTCTATAAGTTGCGGGAATCTGGTGCAGTTAGAAATATGTCTCAAAAAGAAGTACCATTGAAACAGTTTTAAATTTACAATCGAAACCAAAATTCTCTTGCCATAGCTATTCATTGATCATGACATTCACAAATAAATGTGCATATAAACCACGATTAACATGCTGAATCCATGTTATGCAGCTGTTTGAATCGTAGCACTGGCATATGAAAACGAACTTAAAACATAAATAAATCTAGTAATTAGAGTTGCTCCTTCGTCGCAGCAGTAACCCCATTCTCGTCCTCATTATCATCATCATCATCCACCCACTCATTCATGAGACTCTTCAATTTCTCTTGTGTACCTGCTGTCAGCGCCTCATCTTTACCATCGACTGCAACTGCATCGCTGGTGTTTGGTTTCTCCTCTGTGGCAGCAGCTGATTCTACCACTGTTGTTGTTGTTGTCTCTTCAGCTTTTTTCTCATTATTATTTTCTAATGCTTCATCTACAGCCTCAACAGGTTTGGTCGCATCAGCTTGCAGTGTCTGATCGGATCCATCTACCTCAGCTAGCTGAGTAGGCGACACTTCGGTCAATTCTTGTTGTTCACCAGTAACTGCGTCGGCATCCACATCAACATCGGCTCCAGGCGCTCCTGCTTCAGCAATCAATTCGTCAATCAACACTTTCCGAATATTTTCTGTCTCCAAGTTGACATCATCAATACCAGAGGCGGCGACTGTAGGTGCAGAACTTTCTTCAATGCTTTCATTAATGATATCATCGGTTTCGGCATCGGCACCGATTGATGTTGGCGCATCCTCCTTAATGAATTCCTCCTCAGGTTCACGTTCTTTCTTATCGTCATCTTCCTCCTTAACAGGCTGCTGCAACTCATCTGCTACTACTTTGTTCGCTGCTTCTGGTTCACCTTGACTTATTTCAGCTGCGCTGCTGGCAGCTGCCGTTTCCTTGGCAACGGCCTCTGTCTCCTCTGTCTCGCCACCACCCTTGTGCAAGCTTTCCAGCGCCAGATCAATGTCATCTTCCGGCTCTGGTTCTTCTTCGGCTGCCTCAGCAACTGTTGATGCCGCCTCCTGCTTCACAGTGTTTGATTCTGTCTGTACAATAGATGCTAGATGCTCTGAGGTCGTAGGCTTATTATCTATGTCCTCCTCGTCCTCATTCTCATCCTCGGTCCATTCGCCCGTCAGCTCTTTAAGCTTTTCACTAATGTCATCGCGGCCCTTTTCTGCCTTTGGCTGTTGTAAAGAAATTGGTAATTAGAGCTTGTCTTTAATATTATTACTTCACTTACTTCTTTGCTGTTCTGATCTGTTTCCAAGTCATGCTTTGATATTAAATTCTCGGCCCATTCCAGATTATCCATGGACTCCTTACTCTCATCGGCCGCTTCGCTCTTTTTGCTGCTACTCTCCACAGACCCGGTGGCGGCTAGCTCACTATAAATTTGACTGTCATCATATTCCTCTTCGGTGCCCGTTAAGGATTTCGCATCGCTTTCCTGCTTTGCATCCACTTCTGGCTCACTGAGCACCATGACAACACCCCCGCTGGGTGCGCCGGCCTGTTGCTGATTCAGCTGGGACAATATCTCCTTGCGCTGTTCGTCAGTCAACTCGACCTCATTGCCATCGGCGCCGACAAACTTGACTTCCTGCTCTGGATTTGGCGACTGCATGAGTTGCTCCTCCTCTGTTACGTTCCCTTCATCGGGCTCTTCGCGGGTCTGTTGCTGTACAATGGCACTGGTCGCTGGCAAGCTGATGTCGGATAAAATGCGTACCTTTTGCTCCTGCATTGGTTCCTCTTCCACTTCCTCCTCCTCCTGCTCCTCATCTTCCATCTGCCCGTCTTCGTCCTGCGAGCCCAGGTACTCCTCATCGGTCTCATCAATGATGCCATCCTCCAGTGCCTGTGCCTTGTGATAGTTCTTCATATGCCTATACAGCTGCAGCTCCTGGGCAAACACCTTGCAACAATAAATGCACTGTTGCTTATTTTCATCCGTGTGCGCCTCGTTGATGTGCTGCTCCAGCTCGTTCTTGGTCAAGTAAGTTTGGTTGCACAGGACGCACTCCGCGAAGTTGTAGAGCAGCGATTTAATCTGATGCTCTGTGTACATGTGGAAATGCAATTCCCGATTGTTCGCAGATCGCCAGCCACAATGCTCACATAGCGCCGGATCTATTGTCTCCTTATGGGTATTGATCAAATGGCGACGGAAGCCACGATATGATGGAATGCTTATTGGCCGTCCATTAACGCCGCAACGCAGACACAACCACGGACCTGCAAGCAACGACAGTTTAGTGTTAATAAATAAATAATAATATCTGCCAATTTAGTAACAATATCTAAGTAAAATTTTTATGGTATTTTAATTTACTATTATCGATACAT